GGTAACCAGAACAATTGCAGCACATGTAGACTCCAGCCCGCGATCACGCGAATGACTCGACTCAGCTTACACTCACGGAAGACACGCACGTAATCACCTTGATTAAAGAGGACAACGAGACAATGGGCGCGCACGCACCCGAGCGAAAAACTGGCGGCAGAATGCCAGTTGAGGAAACCGTGTTTTGAGCACAGAGAACCACCAGTTTGAGTGCATGACCAAGACGACAGGGTTGTTCATTTTATTTAGTTCTGACATTTAGAGCTGCCAAAGAGCAACGCTAGGGGCTCAAAACAACAGAGGGAAGATAAAGATGTAGGACATATCAAAGGCACCCTCTAACCACCCACACAGCAAGAGCAATGTTTTGGTTTGGATTTTTGTTTAACAAACAAGAACAGGCAGGCAGATAAAGAAAACAAATACCTGCATGCGACAGTAGAGAAAAAAATAAAACAAAACATTAACACACCCCCGATGTAGCTATCAGGCGCTTACAGAAATAACAGGCTGATAACTGATATGGCAAAGGGCCCTCTGAAAGGGCAAAAGACCCGTCTGATATGTCACGAGTCATTACAAGAAAACACGTGACGTCCTTCAGCTAGGTGCAGTTGTATTATAGAGACATGGATTCTTTACCAGGCCTACATTTAGTGCTGTGCTATTTACTCACATATCATAAGTTAATCGCGAGGGAGCTCATTCCGCTTGCCTACTGTTAATTTATTCTTGCAAAACCATTCGGTGTGCTTCGCTCGATGTTCGAGAGTCATGGGCTCATCAGCTATTAATTTTATGACAAATTATGAATTTTGATGCTTGATTTTGTAACTCTTCTTGGCCCCACTTGTCAATTTGTCTCGTACCTTAAAGATGTTTCATAAAATATGCTCTGATTTTGCGACAAAAATACATTATTCGCATAAACTGCATTTAGATTTATTTTTTTTCGAATAGCTCTGTAACACTTTGAAAAGCTGTGGCGAATAGCAGAAAATTCGTGAACGTTAAATAATAAAGTCTCGAATGGGCACAGCTCTAGTCTACATGCTTAGGTTAATTGAACAAAAAATTAAACATAAAAAAGTGAACCGACACAGGAGACCCAAGGTCGATTCCCGATTGGGGACACATTAATTCTTATCGAGTCTCTCGGTCTTTATGCTGGGATACGGTATCCTTCTCAGCCTAGTTTGACTGGCAGTGTCGGAAACCCACCTCCTAAATACAATGTAATGTTGTACAGCTTAAATAATTCCATCCATTATTAAACTCTCTCTCTCTCTCTCTCTCTCTCTCTCTCTCTCTCTCTCTCTCTCTCTC